CAATTCTCCGAGTTGTTGTTTTTATAAAGAAGCATTTTTATTGCAAAATTGAGAACTAAATACTTCCCAACGTCTCGCTAATTTGGCTATGTCTATCCAACGTCAATGGAATATGAAGTTTTTCTTACAAATTTCCTATCGGTTATTTGCTGACCCTTGAAGAATACGAACTCGTGCCGGATTTGTGTTTCTGCTCGTCCCGAAAGTATTTTTGGTATTTTTGCTTTTTTTTGAACAAGCATCACAATTCGCAGAGCAACGGCCTACAGAAACTCCTAGTAGGATTCAATGCAGTTTTTCATGCTCTTTCGAAAGGTCATCTTTATATTGCAGTTCTAGCAACGAGTTCTCAGAAAGTCATTGTAAACTGCGATCCATGCTTTTTACCAAGGTCAAGTTCCGCTATTTTTCTAAATTTGTACTGATTCCTAAAAGAAAACCGAGTAACTTATGGATAGAGCAAACTTGGTGATATACAAGTAAATTTTGTCATTTCCCCTGCTTCGCAAAATCTGCAAAATTATTTTTTTGATGCTATCAAATTCCATATTTAGTCAACTAAAACCTCATAGAACATCAGCCGTCAAGCAGCTCGGGTGCTACATATTTAATGCATCACTGTCTCCTATTTCAATAACATGTTCTTTATTCGTGATTCTAAAAGTCTTGGGAGATAAAATCTACAAAACTCATATTTTGAAGGCACACCAAACTTTACCCGGCAAATTCAAAATTTGATATTTCGAACTCGGACCGCTTATTAATTTTGTAAAATTAGTGCTGAATCCAACTTTTTGTAAGTATCAAAAATCGGCAATTTATTGAAGTTTGACGAGCCTGCGTCTGATATGAGTTTGCTAAAACTTGGCGGGTGTTTAAAATTCTGCCAAAAATCATAGAGAGCTCTGTGAAGGAGAACAAGACTGTTTTGTGTCCTATCAGGTTTGCTCTATCTACAAGTTACCTGTTTTCTTCTGGGGATCAGTACAATTTAGAGAAATAGCGGAGTCTGATCTTGGTAATAATCATGGATCGCAGCTTATAGTGATTTTCTAGGAACTCTTTGCTACAACTGCAATATAAAGATGATCTTAACAGCATGAAAAACTGCATTGAATCCTACCAAGAGAGCTTCTGTAAACCTTTGCTCTGCGGACTGTGTCGCTTGTTTAGAAAAAACGAAAATACTATTGAGACGGCCTAATAAATATGATATTAGATAATGTTTATGTTTATAATAGTCAAGTCTTGAAAACTCTAATTTGTTCTATTCCTTAGAAGGAATGTAGTGTTGTTTCTATGCCATCACCAAAATTCCTCATTGAGGAATGATGACGTTAGTTGAAACAAACCATCTCTCAGAAACAAAACTGATTTTGTGACTTTATAAAACAGACATTCGATTGCAGATAATTCTTTGGACTGGTTTTTTTTAGATTAGCTGAAAGTTTTTAGTGTAAAACAGTGGCTTACCGGGTCAACTCTAACACTAAATTTGCATCTTCCTTTCATTTTTTTCTTTATTTGTCTATGGTTTTAAAGCCAAATTCCATTTTCCTTGGATCCATTTGTTACGAACTTGGACAGCTCTATCGTATGAGTTTAATCAACATCTAAATCTCCTTAATTCTGTCAAACTTGTTATTGAACGATAACCCCCATAAAAGGGGTTTCAAGTTATCCTTAGTAATGGCGATGAGCGGTGAAAGAAAGTAAGTGTAACAGTCCGATTAGGGTCATATGGCGGGCCATGAGTCAAAGTTTGCGCGTTCCCATGAGGCGAACTTCGCAAGGCGATGCAGCAGTACACAGAGTTAACTTCCGTTATTACCAATAACATTCAGCCATGTATCTATCATCCTACTATAATAACGCGCTAAGGGTGTTTACGTTTTTTTGTGTGTGTGTGTGTCTGAATGTCTGTCTGTCACGAAATTCATAGCGCGAGTTCCAGCCAACGTCCCGAGCCCAAATCTTGCATAGCGCATGCTACCAGTATAAAAATCCACAATGCGAAAGCACGAGCGGATTTGTTAAGTGGATCCCTCAGAAATTGCGCGTCAGCCGGGTCCAATTGGCTTTCGGCCCGCATATCGGATCCATATCACCACTTTTTGCAAAGTCGTGGATGTGCTTAGCATCTCAATGTGCAAGCCATGGGCTTTGCTCCAAAAAAGGGATCAAAAGTCTACTACTTTACGAAAACGACGCCGAAAAGTATTGATTGCTCGATGGTCGATTTACCAAGGTTTTACTTGAGCATTTGAGAAGATTTTTGCACAGAGATGTGGCTCAGAGTGTTATTGTCCTTATAGCAAGTACCTAGCCAGAAAAAAGTTCAAGAACCTATTCAAATTTGCATTTGTTCTTCTGCGAAAAATTTCATCCTCTCAAAATTACCGTTCTCACATGGAAAAGCTTTTGGAATGAGTAGTTGTTTACATTTTATTCGTGATATTCGGCATCGTCCGGGAGTTTCAATGCCATCACAAGGCATGAATGAGTAAGGCGTACAGAGTAGGACACAGCGAGCCTCTGCGAATCAGTGTATTTCATAGCGCAAGCTGCAGCCAATATTTCGAGCTGATTTTTTGGCTATAGCACGCCAGCAGCACCCAGGTTGATTGTGTAAAGAAGTGAGCGAATCTGTTTCGGTTGAAAATCGCGAGTCAAACGGATCCACCAGGCATTTGCTAAGGCAAAAATGAGATCCTAATGCAAGGAGTCTGCAGTAACTGTAAGATTTTAACTTGGACATCTTCTAAGCCCTGGAATTCATCGCAGATACATAGCAAAAAGTTAATTTCGTGCAAAAGTGGCGTCAAAAAGAGATGACTCAACTGTTCATTTTCAAAACACTCACTGTATAGCTGGAAATATTCTAGGCTGGGAATGTAGCGTGCATCTGTTGTTGTTCTAATTAGCCAACATCGCATTGATAGAACGGATTCAAAATTGCACTAACCGTTCACCAAAAAGTTTCGCCACGCTAATTTTACCGGTTTCACATGAAAACCTCGCAGAATGAATGGTTGTTTACATCATATTCTTCCCGATCAGAATTTTTCGGGGAGGTTCAAAGCAATTTGAGAGATGATGCAGAGCGCTGTTTAGCTCTGAGGACAAGCATGGACGCGCAGACCCGCACTGCACCATATTCGTGGGGTGCATAGAGCCAGTACCTGCTGTGGACGTACCACACTTTGCCTTTCTTAAGAGGACATATTGCTCAAAAACTATAGAGTAGGACCAGTGCGATCCTCTGCGAAGCATCATCATCCACTTTCATACTTTCACCACTTTTTGCAGAGTCGTGGATGTGCTTAGCATCTCAGTGTGCAAGCCATGGGCTTTGCTCCGAAAAAGGGATCAAGAGTCTACTACTTTACAAAAACGACGCCGAAAAGTATTGATCGCTCGATGGTCAATTTTTTAAGATTTTACCTGATTATTTGAGAAGATTTTCGCACAGAGGTGTAGCCCACTATGTTTATTGTCACGGCGACTACCAATCCATAAAAATTCCAAAAGCCTATTCGAATTTGCATCTGTTCTTCTAAGAAAGATTTTATCCATGCGAAAATACCGACCTCACATGGAAAACCTCTACGAATGAGTAGTTGTTTACGAATTATTCGTGATAGCCTAAGCCTACATAGCGCGGTGAGTTTCAATGTCATTATTATGCGGGAATGAGTAACGCATACAGAAAATAGGGCCAGTGCGAGCCTCTGCGAAGCAGAGGTGACGCACTGGTAGATAAATAAAAGGATAAAGGATTCGGCGTCTTTAATACCTCTGGGTATGCGCCGAACGCACACTACTTCATAGTCGAAGAGGCAATTGTATGCGTGCGAGCCTTTACAATGACTTGCGGGGGCCAGCCGATAACCAAATCAGTGCTTTTATCCTCCCAGAATTACTCTGGTACCAATTTACCGTCTCCGAAGGGTAGAGGGCTTGGTTGGCCTAGGAGAGGGATCGAACCTGCGTTCGATCATAGCGGCGCCTGAGACCACTACCCACTCGTCTCGTACCTGCCGTGATACCTTTTATCTATTCACCTCGTGCCACTTCAGCACCGGAGAGCTTTGTGAGGCACAGAATCTAAGCTTGGTGTGCCCGGCGAAACCGCTGAAAGCAGTGTGAGTCTTGACCTGCAATCTCAAACAATGGTGGTTTTCGTTATGCCTCTAATAGGCGAAACTCCACATGCTCGGTCCTTCTTCGATGCTCAATAGCGTGTAATGAAGCTGGCTCCTTCGTTGAAAAGCCGTCATCCAATATTTTCAATTACCACTGCCGTCTTACAGAAGAAAAGTGCTTTCACTGCCTATGAGTTCCAGATGGAAAGTGTAGATGTAAGTAAATTATTGGTGAACAATTATTAATCGTGTTAAGTATGAAAAAAATTGAGAATCACTGATATTGTTTTAGAGGATTTGAATACTCATCGACTACTCATCGGTGTTGTGTTTATATAAAGAAGGCGTATCCTTGTTTATACATTTGTGTAAACTAGCTGGAATTATATTCCTATTGTTACCACTCTTCAAAAGAGTATTTCAACATTATGTTATCGATGTATTTCAACAATATTTTATCGATAAGGTTGAATGAAAGGGTACATGTACGTATCATTCCCAGTTTCTTGGCGTATCAATGCCTTTTCAATATTGATAGAAAAATTAGAGTCAAAATTGATAAAAATTGGTTATTAGTCTGTCAACCATCATTTTGATATGTGATAAATGACTGCAATTGGTTTTATTTAAATAGATTAGATTCTACTTTATAGAGTTTGCCATCATAAGTTTCTCCGATTAAGTAGTGTGTTCTTGCAAAGTATATATATTCAACAGCTTATCGATATACCTGTATGAAACCGTATTATTATTAGATTTTATTTTTTGGCTTGAAAATTTATTCCCACTTCAATGTGACATCAGAAAACTGAAAATGTCCTTCCTTTGTTTCTTGTTTGGAAGTATATGTACTAAATTTACAAGAACTGTTTTTTGTTTGTAATCCGATGAAAATAAAAAAGTCCCACCTTTTCGACATGATCTTTTTGACTCCCGTTATGTGAGCGTAAATTCAATCACTAAAAAACTACCAAAAGTACAATTTATTGTGAAAAAAGCAAAAATTACAGACGCTTAACCACCTGTGGCTGTAGCGCAAGCTACACCGGTAGGATCAGTGCATTGAACTTTGACCGCGCATACGTTACAACTGTACCAGGGTTGCTGACGGTGGTACACAAACTTGTATTTAACTATTGGAGGTCGTCGCGGCGGTGGTGGTGGTGGTGGCGGTGGTGGTGGGGGTGGTGGTGGCGGCGGAGGTGGTGGAGGTGGTGGGGGTGGGAACCAAAAGGGCATAGGGCGCCAGCGTCTTTTTGGAGGCATTACATAACGTTCTCTTATGACTTCCTTTATGATCGTAGTCGGCGTTTGAGGTTGTTGCTGACAAGTTACGCACACTGTAGTGGCAGGAGCCGCAGCGGGAGCCGGAGCCGGTGGTGGCGGCGGTGGTGGCTCAGTAGGCGGAGGAGGTGGTGGTGGTGGTGGTTCAGTAGGCGGAGGTGGTGGTGGTGGTGGTGGTTCAGTAGGCGGAGGTGGTGGTGGCGGTGCTGCTGCTGCCGCCGCCGCCGCCGCAGCTGCTGCTGCTGCTGCACATGGATCGCAAGGCGGCGTTTGCCTCTCAAATCTGTAATTTGATTTTTTGAAAAACGTAGTAATACTACGTCATTCTTGCAAATTATCACAGCAAAGCTAGCGTCTCATCTTCTTTGGAACTATGTAGCTAATCCTAACCTCAAGTTATATTTCATAAAGATAATACCTGCTTATTTATAAACAATGTCAAAGTATACAGTATATTCATTTGAATTTGAACTCTCGCATGTAAGATCATTTATCATAATGGGCGACTCAATAATTTTTTTTTAGCATACCGAGTGGCACCACTTTTTATCTGAAAAAAAGTTTGGTTCCACCTATCGGTCTTGCACTAGTGCGGATTGTTTGTTAGTTATAAAAGAGTAAAGTTCAGAAAAATGGTCATGCATTTGTTAAAAAGTAAAAACAATTCTCTGCAAATTCTCACCCTTCTGTAGAAGAAATGATAGTGTGGAATGCACGAATGATGCAAATAAAGATGTTACATGATATGGGACGGATAACTCTACAAATTTAGCTATTGCGTTAGTTTTACACTAAAAGCAATGCTGCACCCAGCAGATATCTTTGCCGACTTATAGGATGATGCTAATGTATGTTGCATTTTCAAGATAACTAAAAATAATGGTACTTTTAGTTCAAAAAACTCTTCGAAAATAATATTACTTACAGGAAAGTTTCCTTAGTAAAGTGGTCATTCAAGAGGTGATAGATGTGGCCGAAATCAGTGATAAATGCTGATCCCAAAACTGTAATCCTTACGTGCAAAGCACATTTTGGAGAGGCTGTGGCGTAAGAAACAAAAGTGCAAAAATCTCCCTTGCGAAAGATTGAACATGCAACCCTTTGTGCAGTGAACATCCCACACTCGCGCTGCACTATTCTATCATAAGATTGGGGGCCAAAACTGTGAAACTCAAAAGAACGTTCCGCAGATAAGGGTCGCAGTTTTGGGATCAGCGTTTATCATCGACTTCAGCAGCATAGGGTAGCTACCAGTATAGTTCTTAGCCCCGAAACCGGATAGTGTAAAAAAAAGCAAAAATTGTCGTAAAATTTTGTATCTTGACGATTACATTCTTACTTCTCATTTGTTTCATTATATATCGTATTTCGAATGGTCACAACCATCAAAAAGCATTGCTTGTTTTCACTTCAATCTTAGACATAATAAGACACTCATACAACGGTTATTTTAGTTGTTTTGCAGTATGCGAGAGACGAATCAGCTATAGCGATTAAACGCATAAAGGATGATTCATTCTGTGCAAAAAATGGTAAAATGGTTTGGAACTTGTACTTTAACATTGAAAATTCCAGGCTGGTTTTCAGTGCACAAACGTTTGCATGCCTTCACTGAAAAAATTGAGAATTTTTGTATGTGGTCATTTTAGCAGCAAAGCAACCTTCGATGCTTAACCCATTGACGACGTTGTGTACCACCGGTGGCCTAGGTACTTTTTGCCGCTAGGGACGATGTGTACCACCGGTGGCCCACACCCCTTGCAAAATCATATACTTTCTAGGTCTAGTACTTTTTCCACAGTTCAGTAATTTTTTCAATTTTTTGCATTCTTGGGACCTGTAGACTTCGTCGTTCAGGAATATCATTGGAGTTGTTTACAAAACAACTTTACTTTTGCAAACAATCACAAAACTTCCCCAAGCCAAAAGTGTTGTGCAAAATCGCGTCGTCCCTCAGCGCCGCCACGCAAAATTAGGCGTCGTCGTCAAATGGTTAAGAACTGCATAGCAGAAAGCAGAGCCACACTAAAACATGTATAGTTGATTTGTTGACCGCACGGACTGGGCATCAGTGCGGAGCACGCGCCTCGGGTAGAACGCTTGCCCCAGTACAAATCTCATTGTACAAGCGTGCTCTAGCGACATTTCAGCCGCGTCGCGCGTGGGCCGCAGTCCGTGAACAGTCCGTGCGATCAACGAATCAACGGTAACTGTTGACTGGTCTCAACTATTCTCGTGAATGTAACCGCTCATTTTTACTGCCATGATATGTGAAATCTGTACACTCTGGAATGCAAAGACGAATTACGGCCACATACAATTTATGCTCAATTACCTTAGCGAAGTATTATAAAATGATTACTTTTAAATTAAATCATTCGCTTCCTTTATACGCTGTCTAAAAATAATTTTAAAATTTTATTGCAGTTTATTTTTCAGTTGCAACATAAGGGTACAACTTTGAAAAATCTTACCTGAGCCTTGCATCAGCTGCCTGCAGTAGGCTGAGGACGACCAGCGCAACAAGCCATATCATTGCTGACTGATGCACTCAGGTAGCCGAAGTCGTCTTCGAGAAACCGTTTTAATAACTCCGTTACCGTTGCATTCGCTGAAATGTTGCAAAAAATGATAGGGAACTGTCTTCTAACACTTGATACTTCGATCACCACTAAATGAAACAGGTCGGATTTTTTTCTTGTAAGTACGATTGTTCAATAGTCACACCGCAGCAGTAATTTATGGCTGGCAATGTGATATTTCACCTTCAAAAGTTTTTCCCATACATAAATCGTTCGCTGCTTCAAATTAGCTGTAGGTAGACAAACATTTGCCGAATCTTTGTTAGAAATTTATTGCAATTTTATGGCTATAAAATAGCTAACTCTTCAAAATTGTTCCACAGAAAATTAAAACACTAAATAAGAATCGATGATAAATTTGTACGATGCAACTCATAGCTCAAATTTCAGAAAACCAACTCATCTATGATGAAGCCACTTAAATTATTCTTGACTTACTATTATGTTGGCACATAAGTCACTAATTCCAAAAAAAATCATGTTGAAAGGCTCAGAGCAGCGTTTTAATCTGTATGGTACTTTTTCCATTGTATTTGATATATGTAGTAATTTATTGTACACGTTAGAGATTTGATTTCAAACATTATAATGACTCAAAAATAAGGTCGTAAATTACAACTTTTAGAGACCTCCTATCAGCAAAAATGTTTTAGTTATAAAGCATGATTATAAAGAATGAAAAGTACGTTTGGAAATTTCGGGTCTTTCGGAATTTTTGGAATTTAAAATTGGAAATACGCATTCCGAATGCTTGCATTCAATAGCCGCGGCAGCCGATATGACAGTGATAATTCTTGCTTTGAACATACTCAGAAAACGAAAGGTCTTTTCTTTTCAAATTACACTAGTTCAAACATATTTGTACAATATGGAGGAAAATACGGAGTTCTTGAAAAATGTGGTGCAAGACTTATGTTTCAACATAATAGATTCACTTTTCTTAAAGGCCAAGTAATGATTAATCGCAACCTTTTACACTCTTTTGGCGTATACTTTGCGGGCACTCTGCAAACCATGGGTGTTTCTAAAGAATTAATATAGGTGTCATCCAAATTTGCACGCATTCCCGTACTCAAAAACTAGTCCGATCGCAACTGTAATTCCATTTGTCTTTGTAGGAAAAAGGTTTGTTTGTTGGCAAATCGAATAATTTATTTGGAATGTGCAGTTATTTTATAATATATAAGGTACCTTCCAATCAAAACACTGATATTTTGGAGTGATAGAAGGTGGCATTCCAATTAATGAGAAAAATGAATGTTATATTAAGTGTTATGTTTGCGATTAAACAGTACCTATTGCATATGCTTAAGATGAAGAAGTTGTGTCTGCGTTACATCTTCCCCTTGACGACTCAGATTTGTGTATTCACGGAGACTTCTTTTTTGCAATAGATCAAAAAATTCGTCCGGTAAGCCATTTAGATTATCCGCACGTGTTTGGCTCCCAAAGAAGTAGTTTTCTGCTTTTACATATAACTTTCTTCGGTAAGAATAAACTCGGGATTTATCTTCCTAGCGGAGCTGTTTCCACGACAGAATGAGCATCTAAGTATGTAAGCAAGATATATGGGCTGGAATCTAGTGACGGAACCGTACTACATTATCAGACAGACAGACTGCTTACTATACTTGGGTCCGAATCGAATAGAAATTCGATCATTCGAATAAAACATTCGAATATATTCATATTCGAAATTCGATATTCGGAGTTCTTCCATCTTCGAATAATATTCGAAACTTGAATAATTGAGAAAACGGTGTTTCGAATAAAATTTGAAAACTCGAATAATCAAAAAAACGGGGTTTCGAATAGATTTTATTCGAATGTTTTATTCGAATGTTTATTCGAATTCGTATTCGATGTACTCCGTATTCAGATTATTCGACTTTGTTGCGGAGCCAACTGCTGAGTATCAAGCTCACTTCGTCCGCGTTTTTTTTTCGCAAAACTCGGTAATGCATCTTTTGCAACCGGCATACCTTTGAACTGTATGGAGAGTCGCATTCTTCCGACTGCTTGCGACAGTAAAGAAAATTATATGTGTAACCGGGGGGTGTCTAGTGGTATAACGGTTTCAACCGAATCGATAGACAACACGGATTGAACGACTAATTATCTATCTCAGAAAACGGCAATTAACAACGAGAAAACAAGAACGTGGGACTTGAACAGGCTAACAACGAAACAGCGGACTTTGCCCTCTTTGAACACTTCGGCAGGTTTACTGGTTACTCTCTATCTAAGGGGGAGATCCGCCTCTCTTCGACGGAGTTAGCTTCCGCTAGCGCTTCCTCAGCGCGGACTCTGAGACTCCCCCTGACTCCCGGTATTTATACCCTGCCGAAGGGGTCAGCGCGGGCTTTTCTTCCCGCCACTGAAGATCGGTAGGTCGGTGATTCGCGCCCTCTGACATATGTGGATTTTAATTGATTTTGCTTCGATCAATGAAATTGTTCGCACTGCTATTGGCACCAAATCAGCAAAGAAGATATCAAATTCAAGCTTATGTTTTTTCATACTGAATTGAAATGGCTGTTCTTCTTTCTTTGCATTGCTCATGCTTGCGGTACGCAAAGCCCACACTAGTGAGCACTCTTGCTCGCATAAATTATTGCAAAACTGCCTATTCGTTACCTTGGAGTTTTTTGCGAATTAGTGTATATTGAGTAAAGGACATCGCAGTTGTAGTGCAGGATTAGACGATTTAGATCGCCCGTACGCGATATGCCAATTACGAGATGTCTTCAGATGTAATGGCAGCTTACCACAAATGTTTAGCGTGTACAACATACTAAAAAGATAAATGCCCTGCATTCTGTACTTTCAGAATAGGTTTTGGACAATTTGAGTATTGCCATACCGAGTCGCCACTGAAATGCCTACAGTATGCCCGGGGTTATAGGGGGCATTCGTGCTCGCTTCGCGGAGGAAACCACATGCCTTCGTCCACGATTAGCTTGTACCACACAAGACGAAAGTCTCCGATGAACAGGCAATGTATCGTAGCATTTATGGAATTTAAGTACATATGTGGTCTCTTTCAGACCATATGAAGAAGAATCTTTTGGGCACAGCATAAAAATTTATATCGACTGCTTTTTTAGATCGTCCAATAAAGGGTAAAATATGACTTTTTGCTGATGTATAGACTAGTTGCCGACCGACTTTATCGATTTGTGGAGAATCTTGGGCTGCGGGGCTGGGAGTTGGTACAAAGGGGTATGTGAGGGTGCTGATTATGAATAAAAATTTACTTTATCGATTTTATCGATTTTTGGAAAATCTTGAGCTACGAGGTTGGGAGTTGGTAGGGAGTAAGTGAGGGTGCTGATTATGGATAAAACTTTACTTTATCGATTTTATCGATTTTTGGAAAATCTTGGGCTACGAGGTTGGGAGTTGGTACAAAGGGGTAAGTGAGGGTGCTGATTGAAACCGAAGTCTATTTTATTGATTTCAGCAATTTTTGGAAAATTTTGAGCTAGGAGTTGGTATAGGGGATACTAGGGGGCTGATTATGATTGGATCGGCTTTAGCCAGATATGTCGGCAATTTTGAGATGTGATTGCTTTAGTTATTCGATAAATCATTCGAATATTTATTCGAAATTCGACTTCCAACGTTCGAATATATTCGATAGATTATATTTTCATTCGATATTTTTGATTTTCCGAATTTATTCGAAATTCATTCATTCAATACTTTTGTTTTTCCGAATTTATTCGAAATTCATTCATTCGATATTTTTGATTTTCCGAATTTATTCGATATTCATTCCGATGAAAAATTATCGAATTACCCAAGTATACTGCTTACTAAGCTTTTGTCAAAGATATTACCCGCTCTTCACTTCACATTCGCTGAATGATTGCAAGTAAGACAAGGGCCTAATGGAAAAAAGGAACTAGATTATCAAAGCTTGATGAGTAGGTCTGTCTCTTATTGTTCAAATACGAAGTTGGAAAAAAGCAGAAAGGTTGACTTTTACTTGTTTTTATTAGCACATTACATTTTTCGCGCATCGCATCGTAAGTGAAATCATCTGAAGTGACAACTTAGCACTAGAAAGTCGCGATTAAGAGGCAATTTTTCTTTACTGACGAAAATATCGTCACCTTAATGGGGTAACAAAGAATGTTTTATTAACATCTTAATTCATATGGAGCTTGTTTGTGTTGGCAAACGTGGACGCTCCATATGAACTTTATAAAAAACAATATCATCTTGTTTTATATATCGATGTAAATTAGACCCTGAAGCGTTCTATAATTTTCCTATATATGGATATGCCAAAGACTTCGATAGTTTTCACTAGTCTACATTGACAGAAGAATCATTAGGTTGAGATGAGAGTGTCGCATCAATTTCAAAAATTTATAACTTCTGACTTCGCCAACCAAATTCATTGCTCTTATTTTGTTTGAAAGAGTAAGTTACACTCTTTGTAAAAATTTCACTTTATGATGAGCATAAATTGCATAGCGCTAAAAGAAAACTTTTTTTATTGGTTTTTCTAACTTTAATCAGCAAAAAATGAACTTACCTTGAAAACCAAACGAGTAGGTATTGAAGGTTTTGCCTGCTTTTCCTAACTAGGCAAAGTTGCTTATTGAACATTTCTATGAGAACTTACGATTTTCGAGCATTTATTAAGACAGCAATTGATTCTGGCAGTTTTTCGAAAAACATAACTTTTCGTAGAGACAGTGGTGAAATTAGGCTTCTATACTAGCATCATAGCAGCACTCAAAGTCAAAATTTCATTGCTTCTACTTTCGTGGTCACAAATCAGACGCAAATGAATAAAATCCTTTGGAAACTTAACAGCAGTATGGGACTATTTTTTACCTACTGCATGCATAAGTAGATTTTCCGCAAAAATCTGGGCTGAGAAATTGACGCCCCAAAATAGATTCTCGCCGGTAACATTCTATGATTCAGAAATTTCTTATGATCAAGGTAATCGCCAAAGCTTCTCTTATTTCTGTAGCTCAAAATTGGGACACCTTGTCTACGTTTTCTGCAGGA